GGCCCTTCATGATCACACATGTTGGTGTGCTGCTTCCATGTGGGCTTTGTTGCTTCTGGGCTAGATGGCCGCTTGTTTACTTTCAGAAGTGAAGTAATTTTACCCAAACTACTATTTTTCACATTCTCAAGTAGAAATGAATAATATCCAGATAATATTTTCCACACACTTGTAATCAACTTTATGCTGATATTCAGATTAAGTACCCACGCTTTCTTCCTCCCAAACACCCTTCACTAATGAGGTGGCAACCCGAATTTATAAAAACGACTGGGCTAATTAAAAAGATGAAGAAAAGGGTTTTCTCAGGGCAGAGAGTTTGGGTCAGGCGTTTCGATAATTATATTATTTTATTGGACGAGACACTAGAACAACTGTGGAGAAGCCTCGCCTGAGGTAAACATGGAATTCTGAGGTAAACATGGAATTTTAGAATTTTCCAAACGAAGCGATTTCTATTTACCAATTTTTAAAAAGGAGAGAAATTCTGATTTCCCTCCTTACTTTTATTTTTTACCAGAGGAAAGAAAATACTTAGATCAGCTAAAGTAGAGGCATTATCATGAGGCGCTAAAAACAGACGAAGGACCCAGGGTCGCTGAAGCGCTGCGTGAGCGGAGGTGGGGTGAGGTGGGCAGGTCTGTGGGGCCCACGTGGGAGTGGGGCGGGTGAGGGGCGTGGTCAGGGCGTGGCTTGCCGCAAGAGTGATACTGAGTTTAAGGTGGAGGGCGTGTTAGGGGCGTAACCAAGGCGTGTCCTGAGGTGGGGGCGGAGTCTCGGAGCCTATTAATAGCCGGGTGCCTGGCAAGTTCCGGGGACAAGTCCTGTAGACTTGCTGTCATGTGGTCCCCGCGCCCCACACAGCGAGCGGCTGACCTCTGTCAGCTTGCCTCCCTTCTACCGCCTCTGGAAGACCCCGATTCCCAACTTCCCACTAGTAAAAGGCTCCGCCTCGAAGAGCCTGAGGAAGTCTCTGAGGCGACACAGAGGCTCCCTCTTCTCGTGCCTCGCTTGTCTGAGGTAGCAAAAACGCGGGAGTTGCCCGTCAGGCCGTTCGAGGCGCTCCTCGTTTCAACTAAGGAGAATTTTGATTCTCCTGTGGAGAAATCAGTCAGTGGGAGGCAGAGGCATCATCTGGAATGCCAGAATAGCCCATTTCAGAGGATTAGCTCTCCTCAGTCGATCCCCTCACAACATTTTGAATCTGGTTTGAGGGCTTCGGGAAGGTCTTGGCGCCAAGGACTGAGTGGAAGGAAGGTTTTCGGCGGGCACGGCCTTAGTCGATCTAACTCAGAGGCTTGCCAACTTCTGTCCGACACTTCCTCACATGATATACCTGGAGATAAAAACAAAGAGGGAAAACAATATTTAGCACAAGGGAGAAACAGTAGTCAGAAAGACAATAGCTATATAAAACAGGCAGAAAATCCATTTTTAGATGGTACCTTTTACAAGGACGCTAAATCAACACTTCATGAAATTAAGAACAGATGTAAAGCTGACAGTGCTACGCCATCGAATAAAAAAGAAAATAACATTTTACCATCTATACTAAATATATCAAAATCTTCCAACCAGCCCAGCTTGGAAATTGCTAAACCCTGCTATTTCAGAGAAAGCAGCACAATAAGTATCCTCAAGTTTCCAACTGATTTAAATAGCAAAATGTCCTCTATCTATTTAAAGGAAAGAGCAAAGGAAAAAAATGACAAAAATGAGACATATGTTAGGGATTTCACAAATGTTTACTGTTCTCAGTATAAACCTGATGTTAAGAAGCAAAAGTTACAGGATGATAATAAAATTGTGGATGTGGAAAATACTTTTTCTGAGTATTGTGAAAACAACCACAAATCACTCAGAAATCAAAATACTTGCAAGGTAAAAAAAGACTTGATCAGTTTCAACTACGCTATCCACAATAGTCTTAAGCACGATGAACACATTTCTGAAAAGAATGTAACTATGATATTAAAAAGTGCAAAAGGAAAGGAAACAGAAAGATGGCTAGACAGTTACTTACCAACCAGGTTGGAAAATTTTCAAAGCAGAGGCTATACTACTAACTGTATTTTGAAGAGAAAGAGGGAAAGTTGTTGGAATATGAATAATTGGACTACTAAGTGTGAAAATATGAAAATATATGGAGGAAAATTAAAATTGCAACAGTCATTGGAAATAGGCGTTTTTAACAAGGAAGATTATCACAATACAAAAACTACGAATACATGCAAAGAATATTTAAAGCATTTTGTGATAGAAACACAGGGTAGTAAAAAAGGCTTAATAAAAATTGTTTGCATAAGTGGTCAAAAAGAAAATGACAATTTGCTACCATTCAGATATTATACTACACAAAAAGGCTTACATCTAAGCAAACTTTTTGAAAGTTTTAACACAGAAATCTTTTGTTTACAAGAATATATTTCAGTAAGTAAAAAAGATAATAGTATTTTTATCTGGTCTGAAACTTTGAAGTGCAAAGAGAGAATTGATATTCAAAATCCCAAGAATATGAATGTTGAAAGACATAATAATGTTTTAAGTACATACATGCAGACCAGTGTTCCAGAAATTCTAAATCTTATATTGAACACCAACCTGGACTCTTTAACAAAGATGGAAAATGAACTTAAATTTGGAGAGGAATACATATTCAAATGGTTAGCAGATTTGAGTTTTCCGAAAACTATCATAATGGAAAGTCATTCTTCATATCAAGTAAAGATTTTAGCTTTTTCACCTCTGTTGGAAGATAATATAAGACCTGTGTTGAAGAAAAGAAAGCTATTTCAAATTGAAAAAAATTTTGAAGGAGCTAAGAAAGAAGTTAAAAATAGTTCCTTCAGTATGACTACTGAAAATAAATGTTTTCCAATTATTAAAATTAATGAAAAAATCCCTCTATTAATGGATTTTGATGATATGGATGGCAGTTTTTGGAACAAAATAACTACTCACAAGGATAATGGTCTCGAAAGTGTCCTCTTGGATGGGGAAACTTGGGCCCCTGCTAGTGCTTCAGATGCTAAGACTGGTCCTCAGTTTACCCAGGACTACCAAAGTTATATTAATGAAAATATTTATGAAATAAATGCGTCAGACATAGAAAGACAACAGGAGCATAAGATCACTAACTTTAATTCTGAAGGCATATCTGAGGATTACTTTCACATCAAACCACAGAACACCCCAGCAAGCCACATAACAATACCTGATCAGCAAACCAATACTATGACTATAATTCAGGTACCAAAATTTGAGAACTTCCTAAGTGAAATTAAAGGTAAAGAAGATGAAAATTTGAAGGAAGAAATTAAAACTACAGAACAAAGTTTAATGAGTAGTTGTCACACTCATAAAAATATTAAGATAGAAAAGGAAAAGAAAGAGAGTTTCTCTTTAAGGAATAGTATGTTTTCTGTACATTCAATTTCATCAATGAGCAAGAAAGTAAATGTGGAAGATGCTATACAGACAAAACAAATATGTGTTAATCAAAATAATGCTGACAGACATGAATATGAAAGCAGTTGTCAAGAAAGTGAGTTAGTTAATCCAAAGCATTTTCATCCGAAGAATGACTCTACAGAATGTGCTAATCATCAATTTGAACCTGATTTGAGTGCTGGAAACAATGAATGTTTTCAGAACTTAGCAGCCAAGTGTTTATCAACAGAAGCTCTGACAATAGGAAAAGATTTTGAAATGAAGAGTAAATTTGATTTAGTACTTGAAGAGCTTCATATGTTTCATGAAATTAGTAAGGAGAAAGAAATTCTAAATACTGTTGAAACACACATTGGGCAAGAAAATTTCTTGGAATACAGCAATGATATTGAAGAGGTAGAAAAAGAGATAGAAAAAGATTTTCAAGTGTTTGCTGACATGAAAATGTGTGCTTCGTCTTCGCTCTGTGATAATAAAGCTGGCCTTCCTATGCATAAAAGCCACCAAAGTTCATTTAAGTGGAAAACACAACCCACTGATGGAAAGCAGGAAGTCCCTAATAAATATCGCTGCTCGGGAGCATCAAAGGAAGAATTACTCTATTCTATTTCTGAAGAAGGTACGCCAGTTAGTTTTAAGATGTTCTTTCTGTAGGCCAAATAGAAAATTTTGGCAAAATGTTAAAGTGAAGATAATGGTTACTGATACTTATTATGATCCCATAAGGTCTGTACAAATATTAATTTATTTAAGTTGAAGGCTCTATTTTATTCTTAAAAAGCACTCCAAAGGGTTTAGCTTTAGTTCTTTAAGTATTACAAGCCAATTGAAGAAAATATTTCAACAAATAATGGGTTTATCTAAAAAAGTAGTTGATGAAAAATTTATTAGTTAATATGTCTCTATATATGTGTACACACACACACACGTATTGATTTATTTGCTATAATAGGAGCCTTAATGGTTCAGTGTCTAAGCCCTTGGCTGCTAACTAAATGGCCGGTGGTTTGAACCCACCAGCTGCTCTCTGGGACAAACAGGTGACTGCTTGTTTTTGTAAAGATGAAACTAAGGAAAACATACCAAAATTATTGCCTTTGAGGCTCTTCTGACTCAAAGTGACCCAAAATAGGGACTGTAAATCTTTAAGTGAACAGACTGCCTCAGGAACAGATAACTTTATCTTACTTCAGTGAAATACCTGGTGGATTTGAACACCTAACCTCCAATGCCACAGTGCTGAAAATCCTATACAGCAGCCCTACTTTGTGCTACAGGGTTGCTATGAGTAGGAATTGACTTGATGGCACTGGCTTGTTTTGTATTTCTACAATATTTCTATAATATACTGATCTTTATTTTCAGATGGTGAAAAACCCGTACCCCAAAGGCCTGCTTTGCTTTCTGATGAATTTAAGGAAGAAAGACATAATTTTGTACTGAAAGAAGGTAAGATTTTAAAGTTATTTTCTAAGATGAACACTGCATTATGTTTATCATGAGGAAAACATGGAAATTTAGGATGTTTGAAAATATGGCTATAATATTTCTATAATTATACTGATCTTTGTTTTCAGAAAAACCCTTACCTCAAAGGCCTGCTTTGCTTTCTGATGAATTTAAGGAAGAAAGACATAATTCTGTACTGAAAGGAAGTAAGATTTTAAAGTTATTTTCTAAGATGACCACTGCATTATGTTTATCACAAGGAAAACATGGAAATTTAGGATGTTTGAAAATATGGCTATAATATTTCTATAATATACTGATCTTTGTTTTCAGATTGTGAAAAACCTTTACCTCAAAGGCCTGCTTTGCTTTCTGATGAATTTAAGGAAGAAAGACATAATTCTGTACTGAAAGGAGGTAAGATTTTAAAGTTATTTTCTAAGATGATTATTGCATTATATTTATTGTGAGGAGAACATGGTTATTTAGGATGTTTGAAAATAAGCACAAAGTTTTTAATATATTCTAAATACTTATAAATTTACTGATGCATTTAGATTATTATTCAGAAAATACACTTTGTGAAATAGTGTTCAAATATTTGCAGTTCTGTGGTTCTGTAACTATGTGGTAAATTAGGTGTCATGACAAAATAAGTGTCCAATGTGTTCAATGTTAATTGGCACAACTAAGTGGCATTTTTGTAAGTTGAACTTCCACTGATGAGATGTTACCTCTACTTAGGGGTTTATCATAAGTGTTACATTTTTAACCTTATACGTGTCTCCACATTAAAAATAAAATCTCTGGAGCTTAGAGCGATTCTATTTTATTACTAAGTGTAGTCAGGTTTACCTGACTGATTTAAGAATAGATGTATCTCCATTAAGTGCTTTGTACCACTTTGAAAATAATATATGAAATAGTAAAAGACATTTTCAAAATCAGAGCCTTTAATTGATATGTAACAGAGGAGCATGTGAGCTCTATTAATGAAAGTAAATTTCTGTTAGAAGGTAAACATAGTCATTAAAAATATAGTATAGTTTAGCATTTAATAGGAAAATTATAAGATTTTTGACTGTTTAAAAATTATAGTTTATGTTTCTTTTTGTTCAGTCTATCAGACTGAGATGCTAATTTTCTTTAGGTGTTATTTTAGTGAACTTTTCTGTGCTTAGGTTTTCATATTTACAAATTGGGACAGGATCAGGTAAATGAATACATTTAAGGCACTTGGTGTATGTCTGAGCACTTAGCAAATATCCAGTAAATATTGATAACACCACAACTGAAAGTATGTTAACATTTTAAAGTATAAAATTATTGATAATTTTTGCTCTTTTAAATAATTTTTATCACCTTATATTTCTAGGTAACTCTTTTTCACATGGAATTTTAAGAATACATCCACTTAAGACATGCAGTCGACCAATGAGAATTGGTTTGTCAAGAAAAGCTAAGCTTAAACAGCTTCATCCTTATCTGAAATAAATATGTCACAAGAACTTAAAAGAAGATAGTGAAATTATATATTTCAGAACACCTCAAAATATATTGTTGCTTTCTTTGAGCAAATATTTTTTCCTAGCTTGGGAGTTTTGGGCTTTGTCTATTATAATGTATGGAGAGTTTACTTCTTTTGTGAATTAATTAGTAATATGTTAATTATACTGTTATAAAGTGTTTCATTCATGTTTTCATATGATGACACTACAGTGTTTAAAGTTATTAAATGTTTCATTCTTTTTTTCATTTCATTTTCATGACAATATAAATATTACCTTTACTATTATCTTATGAAATGTGTGAACTGGTTCTTTTTAATATGGCTGTGATTTTTCTGTGGAGAACATCGACAGCATTTATGGGTTTCTTGAAAATATATCTATAATTGAAAAAAAAAGAATTACTTTCTAATACATTCTTCTCATTAATACAAAACATTTGTGTCAGTAGGATGTCTAATTTTCTTAAGATCATACAGTTAGAATTGAGATAAAGGTTTTCTCCTCTAGCTTTGTTTCCTACTTTTCTTTTACTAATCTTTATTTTTCCTTCAGAATCGATTTGTCTCTGCCTTCAGGGAAGAATTGTGATCATGTATTTAATATTTATTCCTCTATGAAACAAATTCATTTTAATGCACTTATAAGTAGGTTAGGCATCGTGTTAAGCCTGGTGATAGAGAAGCATAGATAAGACTTGCCTTCATAGAGCTTATTTTCTATCCTTTAAGCCCTGATGGTTGGTGTAGTGGATACTCTTTGGGCTGAGATCTACATGGTCTGGAGAAAGCCTGGGCTTTCTACTTCCATAAACAGTCTCTGAAACCCACAGGGAGTCACTGTGACTCAGAGGCAGTGAATTGGTTTTTTTTTTTTTAGGTTTGAGGCAGGTAGCGAAATAACTAACATTTAAAACTAACCATCAATAGAATAAAATATACTTTTTAAAATACTAGGTGGAGATAAGGCTTGGTGACTTTTGCATTGGGCTGTTATGTTAGACAGGGTTCTCTAGAGAAACAAGATCAACAGCTTCAAATCACCAGCTGCTGCAGGGGAGAAAGGTAAGGTTTTCTACTTATGTAAAGAATTCCACTCTCAGAAACTCACAGGGGGCAGTTCTACGCTGTCCTACAGGGTTGCTATGAGTCGGGGTTGACTCCATGGTAGCGAGTTGAGTCGAGTCGAGGCAGAAATAGCAATAAATCAGCTGTGTAGTTAAATACGAGTTAAGAAAAGAAAGCTTCAAGAAAGCCTAAAAAGCAGACACCATTTAACAACAGATGTCGTTACCAATCCACAAAATAAATGTGACTCGGCTCAATTAGCCATCACAGTGAAAATTCTCAGAACCACCGAAAAACAAACAAAACTCTTACATTAAACATCCACTCATTAATTTCCACCATGCATTTCTAACTTTAATACCCTACTCTAATCCCCTCCCCCAACCCAGCATAATTCATCATCTACTCACATGCTATATAATTAACTGCTTGCTAGAATATAAGCTCTCTTTTGAAGGCAAGCTTCATCGTATCTGTCTCCTAATAAGCACTCATAAAATATTCATTGAACGAATGCCTGAATACATTTCCCCCTGTCTCATAGTAATTACATCTTTTGAATTCTTCATAGCTCTATGACCTTGGACAAGTCCTCATTTCTAAAAAAAAAAAAGAGAATAATAATATCTCATGGAATTATTATGAAGATTAACTGAGCTAATATGTGTTTTAGGACAGTTTTAATGTATAGGAATTTCTCAATAGTAACTTTAGAATGCAAAATCATTTATTGAAATTACATTTCCCTGGCCTTTGGATTAGAATATTTTCAGAAGTGTGTTATTTCTTTGTGTCTTAAGAAAGCAGTTCCTTTTCCTTCACCCTCTTAAATTTGTTTTCTCTTCCTCCTATGTTTGTTCTATTTACTTTTATTATTATAAGCCCCATTCTCACTGCCCTCAAGTCAATGTTGACTCATTGCCACACCCTGTGGGTTTCTGAGATAATAACTGTTTATGGAAGTAGAAAGCAAAATGTTTCTCCTGCAGAGCTGCTCTGGTGGTTTCGAACTGCTGGTCATTCAGATCGCAGTCCAACATGTAACCACTACACCACTTGGATTTAAAAAATCATACAAAATAAACTTTATTGCAATTTAGATAAATATTTTCTCTGTTTTCTCTCACCATTTGTCTATGTTGATTTTCCTTCTAAGATCTATATCTCAAGGACAGTTTTTTATGCTTCCAGTTTTGTTTTTAGTCCCTAAGAGGGTATTGGAGGAGCCCTGGTGGCATATTGGTTATGGGTTGGTCTGCTAACCACTAGGTCATCAATTGGAAACCACCAGCTGTTCCAAGGGAGGAAGATGAGACTTTCTAATCCAGGACAGAGTTAGTCAGTCTCAGAAACCACAGTGGCAGGGTTGCTATAAGTTAGAATTTACTTGATAGCAGTGAGGGAGAATGAATGAAAGTGAGTGAGTGAGTGTGAGTATGCTATCATCCTTTCTCTAAGAAATGGTATCTTACTTTATTCCCACTTCTGGTTCTCTCACACTCTCAACTGATGGATGTATGTGATAACCTGAAACTGGCTTGCATGTGTTTCTGTCCCACTGCCCATTGTGTCTGTGATGTATAGCATTTTTTTAGAGGGGTTACATTTTCCAACATGCAAACATGCATTCCCATTGTTGTCATCACTCAAGACCCCTTCCCATTTCTTCTTACCCAAAGACACAGGCCGGAAAAGGAAACACCACGTTTCTCACCTGACCAGGGTAGTGAGTTTCTGAAAATAGAGTTTAAAACTTGTAGGACACAAGGCAGGGGACAGTTTCGCTCTTATAATTTCTTTTCTTCACAGTCAAGTTTGGAGAGGCTGCAGTGGGGCCTGGGTAGAATACAATTGAAATGGAAATTTATTGCCTTTACACCTTGCTCCTTTTTATGTTTATTTTTAAAATGAAATGGCTGAATGCTTTTAAATCATAAGAAGACTATTCAAAAGACGAAAAAGCTTCTTTAGAAATATTTGCTATAATTCAACCTTACCTAAAGCTCTGTGTTCAGTTTAAAGTAACACATTTTTGGATGAATAACAAGGAGCATTAGAAAAGAAGCAGAACCTTATATTAAATCAACTTGAAAAAGTCACATGCTGTTGACAGCTACTACCTTAAATATACAGACCTTTGAGTTAATATTATTCATTTAACCTTACTTAAGCAAATATAGTTTAAGCAAAAATAGAACCCAACATATGCAGTGAAGCTGATCTTTATTGCCATGTAAACTGCCACATAAAAGAATGTATATAGTTAATCATCTGTTTGGGCAGTTTGCCTAATGACTCAGATATTCCATGTTGACATTATCATATAATAGTTTGACTGTACATGACTTTATATTACTAAAACTATAATCTTTGGGGCTAAAGTGTATATGATATCAAGGTATCAAAAGTGTTACCTTCCCCCCTCATTTTCTCCTACTTTGTTGCAAAACATACATTTGCAAGTATGGTTTCTGTCTATCTCTATATCATGTTTCCAAGTACAGTCATGCATTCTAACAGCATATTCAGAAGATAAAGTCATGACAGTTATCCACATGAATGAAAAATAAAAAAGAAAGAAATTGTGACTTCAAGGTCTCCTTAATGGTGGCATAGTGTTTATGCGTTGGGCTGCTAACTGCAAGGATAGCAGTTTGAAACCGCTAGCTGCTCCCAGGATGAAAGATGGGCCCTTCTACTCCTGTAAAGTTTAGAAATCTTGGAAACCTAGAGGGTTGCTATGAGTCAGAATAGACTTAATGGCAGTGAGCTTTTATTTTACTATTTCTGTAATTTTGTGAAAACTTATTTGGAGCAAAAGTAAATAAAACAACAGAACACAAGTCTTGCAGAACTCTTTCTTGTACTTAAGATTTATATATGTAACTTTACTTATTATGTCTAGTGATAAGTCTAATAGCCACTACCAAGCTTTACACGCCCCAAACTGAGCTCCTAATAATCCCCCCTCAAATTGTTCATCTTGGATTCTCCATTGAGTAAACAGCAATTCTATTCTTTCAGTTACTTAGGCTACTAATTTTGGAATCATCCTTTCTTTTCCTCACAACCCATAGCTGGGTGATCAGCCAATTCTGTTGGCTTTAGCTTCTTTTGCCTGGTGTGTGTGTGTGTGTGTGTGTGTGTGTGTGCATGTGTGTAATAGAGTTTTAGCGGGCTTCTGCTTAGTTCTTGCTTCCCTTCTGTCTATCCTGAACACAGTAGCCAGCACTATCCTTTAAAACACACACCATACCACATCACAGATCTACTCCAAGCCTGTCAATGGCTTCTCATTCCAAGTTGTCATTTAAGTCAACATCCTTACTTTGATATAGAAGAGCATTATAAAGAGGCAGTCTTCTATTTCCTATCTGAACTCTTGTCTACCTCTTTCTCTCGGTTCATAGCATGGAGATCACACTGGTATACATTAAGTTTAGTCCTCCCTCGGGGCTTTTGCACGTGCTTGCCTTCTTCCTGCCTTCTGAAGGACTTACATGCCATCTTCACGCTAACATTCATATTCCCCTTACTTGCTTTAATTTTTCCTCTAATAATTTACTGTCCACATACAATATATTTTACTTATTTATCTTGTTTATTGTCTGAATTTTTTAAGCTCCATGAGGCAGAATTCTTGCCTATTTTACTTATTGTTGTATGCCTTTAAACTTGGCATTAAAGTATTTAATAATTATTATTTGAGTGCAAGAAGGAACCATATAACCAGGCATAGGTATATCTTAAATATAGCATGCTAAAGAAGCTTTTCTTTGTCAGGCACAGAGCCCAATGCTGTCCTGGAATGTAAAGGTCTCTCCCATGCCCCATTTTCTGTTTTAATTTCTCCTTCAGCCAAAGTAGTGAAAAGAAAGTTTGAATCCACATCTTCAGAAATCTGTTCATCTGCCTAACT